TAAAGCAATTAAAAGGTACTGACATTAATATCTAGACTTGGCTGGATTAGTTAAGTACCTATGAATAATCTACAATATTTAATTAACAAAATGACTGGAAATTGATTATCTCAAGATTTTGTTGCAAAGTGAAAGTAAGTTTATTATATAAAATTTCACTTGTCAGATCATCCTATGAAATAAACTCGCCGAAATAGCTGATTTTAATATTCACACGATATCTTTTCTACATGTCTTTGTAGTACTATTTATTTAGTTTTTTATTAGTCTGACCATGACTGGACTTTCACTGCATCCAATCTTTTAGGGTATTGCTTACAATAAATGTACTTAGAGCATCGTCACCATTGAGGGTTCTTAACTCATTTTTTAGTATTAAATTTAATATTAGTTTAGTGTTTGAAACTCAATTAATATTTGCTAATCTCTCTGTGTCCAATTGTGAGACTTAGAAGGGTTCTAAAAAAAAAAATCAACACTAGGGAATTTCTTTCTTTCAAGTCATTTGGTTCTTGAAGTACTTACATGAGAGAACAGCTACAAATTCTAGTGTTAAACGAAAGAGAGACAAAAGCTTAACTAATAAACTCAAACTACTTTTTAAGCCACGGAATGGTTAAAACATGTGACCATTTTTAGGTCTAAAGGAGGACTGTTTTTGTTAGTCTATGGAGATTATAGTTGATGCAATTAATTACTGGGATCTTTTGGTTTCCACTTGCAAGCTTTCTTCATTCTTTTTGCAGTTTGAACGAATCCTACAATCACCTGAACCAGAGATAATATGAGTGTGTTTGCAGCTTGAACGAATCCTACAATCATCCATTTGCTATGAACCAGAGACAACACAAGTTCAGATATATAGGTGTTAGCTTCTTTGCCCTTTTGAAGAACATGTAATGTTACCTGAGACATGAAGTGTCTTTGAACAATGTCAATTAGTTGCTCTTTGATGGATTAGGAAAAGCATCCACCTTACAAAATAAGAGATCGATCACAGTGTTGTCAAAAACAAAAACTTTCTTCCACAATTAGCAAGAGTAGTAAAAGATTCGTCCCAATAAAGAACTCTCAAGGTTAAATTGTCACCAATATCGCACTAATGTAGGCATATCTAGCTTGCTAAGATCAACCTAGCACCAAGACACATCAAAGAACGGATTAATCTACATGTTCAATGTTCTATGAAATCAAATCAAATTACGAGTAAACCGAATAAGGATTCGATCCCAGAAACACGGCAAAGTAACAAACCAAAAGAGAAACAAAAGGATTAGCCAATTACAGAAGGATTAGCCAATACACAAATCACAGAAGGAGCAACCACATATAGCAACCACAGAAAGGATAAACACGAGTACCTGAACCTCTTGGGAAGCATATCTATTTGACTGAATCGACATGCAGTAGCTACAAGGAGAGATCACGACGGCCAAGAGAGATGAATCGCCGTTTGTGGTTCGGTTTGCCAGAGGGTGAATTGCGAGAGACGGTGAGAGAGAGAGACGACAGAATCGAAATCGGAAGAGGAGAAGCTCCGACGACAACAGCCTCTACGACATCCCAATCGCAATCTCAATCGCCATCGGGG